AAAATGGCAGATGTCATCAAATCGGGGGTGTCTTTAGATTTTGGTCTTAAAATCAAGTTTAATCTTTAATTAGGAAATAGAAAAATTGGTGACACAATGGGAGATAGTATATGATTAATTCAGTGAATAGACCGCTGATCTAAGTTTATTATTTTAAGAATTAAATAGACTTTAATTTTATCACTTGAAACCCGCATTACAAGATATAAACGCTAATACATTAGGAAAATATATTATTTCTAATATTAAGATCAAGTTTATCTTAATTATTCTTATGAACTTTTTATCTATGTACATTTATATAATTTTGATAAAAGTTTAAAAAAATTAAATATGAGACTTTAAACAGATGGCTAAATAATTTTGCGCATTTTGTATTGTTATAAATTATTATATAATTTATAATATAATCTATTATTCATTTATCATTAACTATTAAAAATAATTCATGATAGAACATTACTTGAGAAATTTTAGCCCTAATATCTTTTAAGTTATACTTTAAAATAACAATTTATAGTTAACTAAAATCATATTCTATTAATATCAAGTATCAAATTAATAATGATTTACATAAAGTGACAATTAATGAAATAATTTTATTTATTCATCAAATCAAATAAAATTACAATTAAAATATATTACACTGAATACAATAAATATAATGAACATTTGATTTGAATAAGAACAATCATATAAAAAATGGCCATGACACATTCAACATTAATCTAGGCTGTGGGGGGCGCATCGGGGTCAGTGTTGACAAACTTGTCTTCAAACACAAACTGTTTGCTGGGATTACGAGTAGAGATAACCTCCGGAGCCGCTCGGGTGACCGGCGGTACGCCCAACGCCACGGCCACGTGAACGGTATGCGAAGATTTGGTCACTCCGAGCGCCTTATAGGCGGCCTCGTAGTCGACACCGCCGATAGCGTGCGAGACATAGCCCCTGCCATTGGCCTCCAGCGATAGGGACATAAAGGCGCTGCCGGAGTCAAACTGGTTCATAGTGACCGGGAGCACTTTGCCCTTGTATGTTTCCCAATTGGCACCAAACACATAGACTATGACCGACGCGTTTTTGGCCCACACCTGATTGCTGGGCACTAGAGTGGCCAGTAGTTCGGCGAACCGGGGTGTGCCGTGTTTGGCGTACACAAATCGCCATGGTTGGATGTTCTGGGAGGAGGGTGCCCAACGGGCCGCTTCGAAGATTTTGTGTATGTCGTTGTCAGGTATGGCCGCACCGGTCATCTCCTTTTGTGAGGTACGGCTGGACAGTAAGGGGTGGATCTCGTCCTCAAATTTTCGTTGCTGTTATTAATTACATAGATTTGGTTAAACTTTTTTTTTATAAAAATGTCAATTTTATTTTAAAATAACTAGTTAATGTTATAATATTGGCTAATATGGTTATTCATAATTTACCTTCATTGGATATGGGTCGTAATGATCATCCTCAATTTTGACCAAAGGCGAACCAATAACCAAACCAACTAAAACGCTTAGGCATAATACTCTATACATGTTAAATCCTATTATATTTTTATAAATATAACTTTATTATTTAACTTGAAAAGTAATTGTTAATTTTTGACAAATGAGCACAATATTTATACAAAATTTTAGACAAAATTTAAATTAAACTTAAAATGCACTATTGTAATAATCTACAAATAACTGTATGTACCAAGTTAACATGTACCCAGTTAGGATTAAATAAAGTTACTGTGCCAGTGGGAAATGTACCACATACTGTATTTGCACTTATCCACGATTAGTATTTGGCTAAATTAATCTTAGTCCATGTACATAATTATTGAACATGATTATGCACTTTTTATCAGCTAACCAAATGTATTTATGTAATACTAAAGAACATAATTAATTAACTCTTGGCATAATAGTATTATGAGATCAATTGTTTAAAACATGATTAAAATTTAATTAAAAAATTTAATACATAGTTAAGATGCATTTTAAATATTTATGTTTAGCAATTATTCTTTATATATATTTTTACATATAACATTTAGCTAATGTAAATATATTTTGTATTTATTTAAAACACATTAACAATACATAGTTGTAATTGTTATTTTAAGGCAATCATGGTGAGTTGATGAGAACATTTGTTTTAATGTGAATTTTAACACATTGTCACAATCATAATACTTGGTATCAATATTATGTAATTTCCACATAATTTAGAGGTCTGATATACATCTAACAAAATATACTAGATACATATTACAGAGTGCACGTGTTATAATGTACACAAAGAAGACAATCATGGTCACTGGAAAGCATGTGCTTTGTGGCACATTGTCATACGTGACTAATGTCATAAATTCAGAATTACACTGTTTACTTTTTAATATAGAAGTATTACTAATTATATTTTTCGCATATGTTTTTACAAAGAACATTAAAATCCTTAATTATAAATGTTAATTTTGTTTTTTAAAAATTATTTCGGATAACACTATAATAGGGGTAAATAATAATTAAAAATCGTATTGTTTAATAGATCACTAAAGTTTAATCATATAGATTCAAATCGGCAAACTTGGTAACTGAGCTGTCCAATAATTATACCTGCTTTAAACTTGTAAATTATGAACTTAAAGACTATTTTTCCATTTAATCTCGGTCGAAAATTATCATTTAATGTTGATTATTGATTTAATTATTGATATTTATTGTTGAAAACTCCATTTAGTTAATAAATACAAGTAAAATACACCAAAAATGCAATCATTACATTTTATTTTCAATAATTCAACATTTACTCTTCCGTTAGTTAAAATTTTACCTACAATTTTGTATAAAGTTAGATTTATTTAATACTTTGTAAAATAATGAAAATTTTAATTAGTTAGATTTAACATGTTAATAAATTTAATTTTTAAAAATTAAATGTTATTTAAATATGTTGAATGGAAGCAACTCAAACACTAAAATTTTATTTATTCCAAAATTACCATTTTGTTATAATTAAAATTATTCTCAATACAAGTAACATGATTATATTTAAAGTTAATTAAATTTTTAGTATACCTTTTGAATTACTAGCATTATACTTTGTATAATTTTATTATACTTTTATTAAATTTTGTATTACATACAGTATTTCAAACAGCGAATGCAAACTGATATACAACCATAATTAAAATAAATTTATTCATCATCATGGCCAGGGTCGGGATCGGTGGCTGTAAAGTTAGTATTAAAAACAAACTTTGTAATCGGAACCCTGGTGGTAATAATCTCGGCGGGCCGGTGACCATCATCGGGGAACCTCTTGCCCACCGCAATCATAATCTCCATATTATAGGCCGTTTTGCTGGCGCCCAACACTTTGAACACCTGGTCGTAATCAAACAGTGCCATCGGGTGGGCCACTAAGCCCCGGGCGCTGGCCTCCAACTCCATCGACAAAAACGCGCTAGCTGCGTCGAAATAATTGTATTCCACAGCAGAGATGTTACCATGGTAAGACTCGTATTTAGCCGACAACTGTACTACGAGGGCCGACGCGTTTTTCACCCACACCTGGTTTGCCGCCTGAAGGGCGTTGAATAGTTGTGCGAACCGGGGTGTGTCCCGTTTGGCGTACACAAAACGCCAGGGTTGTATGTTAAACGCCGATGGCGCCCATCTAGCTGCTTCAAATAGGGCAAATAGCTCCGGGTCGCTAATTGGTTCACCTGTCATAGCACGGGCTGATGAACGGCTCAGTAGTAGGGGGTGTATCGGGTGGTCGGGTTTACGCGCCTGTTATATACAATAGTAAATATTAAACGTTTGTTAATAATATGATTAATTAGTATATTTATTATACCTTTAAGACAGTCTGATCGTATTTATATTGCACTGGGTCATCGCTGATAGTTTGCCCAATTAAACATCCAGCAACTATTGCTATTATTACAATATTAAACATGATTAATAGAGTTTAATAACTACAAACAAATATTATTTGAAATAATTGATTGTTTAATAAGTTGTATGTTTTGTCCATGGTTGATTTGACTATTTATATGTTTTAAAACATTGTTTAATAAGTAACATGTTATAAAATAGATCAAGTGATCTCATATCAAGTGTATTTTAAGGACAATTTGCAAAAACTTATATTTATTACCTATTTTAGCTTATAACCTAATATTAATTATAATATTATAAGCTAGAATTAATTGTGTAAATATAACAGCTGTAAGATATTACAATATTATGGTACATTGCAAAATAACAAAAGCTTGATAATAGTGCAAATAGCTTAATAAAATAAGTTTGTGCTTTTTATCAAAATCCAGAACATTGGGACTCATTAACATATAATTTAATAAAGAAATTTAAATGCAACATAAGCCAAAAATGATATTACCAACATTAATTACTGTATTCGCTAATTATGGTTTCATAATTACAATAATTTAAAGTAAAAATTGATTTCTTGTAGATTAATAAATTTAGTTATTTTTAATGCTCATTAACAGTTTGGTTACTTTTTTCATCACAATTTATATAATGTATTTTAGTTGAAACCTAAGTCACAAAATATGCAAATAAAAATTTCATTTACACACATACCTACAAGGTTAAACATAATAATGATCTCTTTGGTAATTTAAATATTTCCTAGAATCAATATAATGGGAATTCAATAAAAATATAAGATGTTATTATATTAGATGAAATATTAAAAAATTAATGTTAAAACTTTGTGCCTAATTTATAATGTATAAATAATATCAGATAATAATATAAAGTTGTGGTAAACTGTGTAACTTTATATACTGTTGTGGTAAACAATGTCTGAAATACAAAAAGTAGTGATTGAAATGAATTTCTATGAACGTCTTATACTATACATTATGATCATTTTGCAATCGCTGACAATAGTAACAAATGTATTAATTCTTTTAGTGATTAACTATAATTGCAAACTTGATAAATCAAACATTATTAAACGTCCTAAAATGCTGATGGTTAACATAACTATTAATACCCTGCTAATATTGTTAGCGTACACCATGCCATTCACCATAATTAACCCGGCACTAAAGTCAAACCTGTTTCACATGTATATCGTTACCACAATAACACGAATGACAATTGTTGTTTTATTATATTGCATTAGTTACTCAATAATAATACTATCGATGGACATGTATTTTTCGTTAATCAACGTGTTTAACAATCCGTTGGATAAAATATCTACAAAATATTGGCTGTATATTATTTGGTCCGCCAGTGCTATAGCGAGTATACCGACAGTTAATTTGGACATATTTTATTATGATTTTGAGCATCACGCATTTGTATCCATTCGCTATCTAAATGATCCCAATTCAATTATTGAATTGAATTGAATTGAATTTATTGATATTTAGAGACCCGGCTCAATCAGCATAACTGATTTTCATTGAGGGGGTCTTTATATTATAAAAATTATTGTTTACATGCATGAATATTTAACCGTGTACAATTTAATATCAAAATTTATACTACCAGTTATAGTAATCACATTATTTACCACGCTTACAATGATCAAGTACTGGACTAATTCATTAAATGGCAAAAAACTCAAAATATTGCTCAGAATCATATTGATCATGTGGCAATACGTAACGAGTAATATATTGTTTTATTCATTTGTCTTACAAGCATTCTATTACCCCAATCTATACGATAGAGATTTTAATCACTCACAAATAATTGTTCTTGTTCACATGTTTTTCATAAGCAACTTATTTTATTCTGTAGTATATTTTTGGTTAAGTAAACGTTTTAGGCGACAATTCACAAAATATATATGTAGTTTATATATAATTAAATTTATATATGATCCTGATAACAAAAATATGCCAAATAATATGATAGAAATTAGGCAAGATTTTAATTTAAATAAATAATAATTTTATTGCATTTATGTAATTCAATGTTGATATTCTCGCAATTTTATAATAAACATATTTAAATACTAAACTTTTGGTTTGTGTACAATTATATTTTTAAAACTTACGAGTTAGATTAGTTAGCAGCAAATTTAAAAATTGTCAATATATTTTAAGCAATATGTATATTCCCCAAAAATAAATGTAATAAAAAATTGAAAACATAATGTTTTATTTTGTACAACCATATTCATATTTTATTGACAAATAGGCTAGATATATTGATATATAATAATAAGTTGAAATGAATCAATATAAAACATTAAAACTCGTCATCACCCGAGGGATCAGTGTTAACGAACACATCCTTATACACAAATTTATTGTTGACATTTCTGGTGGTAATAGTTTTGGGTGTTTTGCGGTGCGCATTGTCTGGATTCTTACCAATGGCTATCATACCAATGGCTCGACTGCTTCAGCTCAGTTGGTTTATTTCATGGAAATAGAGCTAAGCATTGCACAGATCGAGTTACGGACTGAGAGATCGGTGGTTCGATCCTGATATGATCCGGCCTATACGGGGGGTAATACACCGGAGACGA